GCGATTAGATTCATGATTAGAAAATTATAAAAGTAGGGTAGAAATGTGGATATTATCCGGCTGAACAAAACGGGCATTTATCAAACAGGTTCGTTTTCAACAGACAGAGTTTTTATTTCGAGCTATTTTCCATTGACTCTGAGACGAGGGAACCGGTAGTGGTAAAATGCTAACTCACTTCCGGGTTTTAGGACTCATCACCGCACCCAATAGAGAACCGCAGTGACGCGTCCTAAAACCCGGAAGTAAGTTAGCATTTTTACCACGTCCGGTTCCTTCGACAAAAAGCAATGCAATTTCTCCATAGGATTTTGGAAAATAGCTCGAAATAAGGTCTGTGTTTGACACAAATTGAAGAGACAGATCACGTTTTGTTCTACGACATTAAATACATCAGCAGTGATGTAGTGCTAGTGATTTTTGAAGAGTTTACGTGTCTGAAAAACGATGGTTGTTAACATGTGGCTGAATAGGACTACAGAAGTTGTCCAGGCCGTTTTACGTCATTACACCGAACACGTAAAACACTCCTCTAAGTTTGTTTGCCCTGTTCTGCTTGAAAGCAAGTACCTGCCTCCTGCAAACTGTTCAAACAAACGCTTCAACTTGTACCATTTAGAATCTGTATGTTTGAATATGGATCTTAAGTTGGCGTGACATTGAAGCAGCGACCCTGCTGTAGTTCGTTTATAGCATAACGTTAGCATTTTGCTTCTGGCGACTAGATTTATGATTAGAAAATTATAAAAGTAGGGTAGACATGTGGATATTATCCGGCTGAACAAAACGTGATCCGTCTCTTAAATGTGTGTCAACCAGACCTAATTTCGAGCTGTTTTCCAAAATCCTATGGAGAAATTGCATTGTGTTTTTGACGAAGGAACCGGAAGGAGTTTACTTCCGGGTTTTAGGACGCGTCACTGCGGTTCTCTATAAGGTTAGCTGTTAGCTAGCCAAGTAAAGCTAATAGGAGCTTAGCTAGCTCGTGCTTTAATACAAATATGATGTAACTACAACTGATTAACTTGCAATAAACATTAAAATGTTGGACGCATGCGGTGCAGCACCTTACCTGCTTGGCGAAGTCAGACAGAGAGGAAGTTGTAGCCGATGTCCGGTGCGTTCATGGTCGTCATACGGGTAGTAATTGCATAGCACGGTGTTCACTTACTACGCGATCGCACAATGTCACGTACAGTAATTCCACAACCACATAAATGGATTAACATCGATTTAGTCGAACAGCAAAAAAATGAATCTACTGGTTTCATTATTTGAACCAATAGTGGTGCATTTTGCACTATTTTATATTTATCTTTTTCTAATTTTCTAATTTTGTCTTATGTCCTATTTATATTATGTTGCACTGTTGGAGGAGCTCGGGCTCTAAGATTTTCATTGCCACAATTACACTGTTGCTACTGTGCATCTGATAACAAAAACCCTTGAACCTTAGTGGTGTTTATTTTCACGGAGTTCAGTTGCTATGCGATGGCACAACGTCACATCCTGTAATTCCACAACCACACAAATGGATTAACATCGATTTAATACATTAATGTAGCCTTTGTTTCTGCTAAAAGAGGTGTCAACCAGCTGGGGAAACAAGAAAATCGGCTTGCTTGGCACTTCCGGGTATTTCTCCACTGGTTGGGCCATGTTAACAATACCGTGTAACTGTCACGTTTGAAGGGACGAAATCGTGACATCTTCACGTCTCCCAGCATGGTAAATCGTCACATGTTCACGTCTTGCCGTGATACCGGGTTGAACTAGCCTGCTTTTATCGTTATTTTTTTGCATTTCATCAATAGTTTCCTTTCAATCTCTTCCAAAAGGACCACCTCCATTGACTTTTAAACTGAGCTCAAACCTTTTAAATTCAGTTTAGTTTTCATCCTAAGAATTTCCTTTTAATTTGCGGCCGAATAATTCGGAAATGTGAATCTGTTAGTGTTGTATGTGTTTGTTGACAATATAATAATAAATAGGAAACCTTAAATAGATTGTACTGTATAATCACATGTTGAAAAGATTTATCCATTTCTGTCCATCAACTGAACCTCAGAATACTTTCTGGTTGCAGGGCAAAATTCACTTACATGTTTCCTGTTTGCCAACTGTTAACTAATACAGATAGAAATGATGCGCTCCAGCCTTTCATGTAGCGCCTAATCTGCTAGTTGGTGATTAATGAACCACTTCTATCTCCAGCACTGTGAACTGTGGCCTGGACTTAATTAAAACTCTGCCATTGACCACCAATCCTAAATTACATCCCACAACCTGTGACACTTTTTGAATAAAAAGTACAAATTGGCTTCCTACCAATTAATAATTCACAAATGAACGGGAATAACAAGCCTGGGGCGGCTGCTCCTGTAATATTTCTGCATCCTCCGTGTGCTTTGTAAATGGTAAGACACTGTAAGAACCTTGCCAAGTATTTGTCCTATTACTAGTCAGAATTTGTCTTTACACTTGATATAAGACATAATAACGTGAGAAGTAACATTGAGTATAGGGTCTTGTTTTTAGACGATGCATCTTATGTATCTTGTTAAGTCAAAGACTGGATCTCAGATGAAATAAGTTTCTTTAAAGTGGACCTATATATGGTAGGGCCATACCTATATAAAACATGTCTGAAGTTTTTTTTTTCAAAATACCAAACAGATCATGCATTTTAGCCATGCCTCATTTCGCTCTATTTGCCCCTGCAGGAGAGGGGAGCATGCTTTGAGATCAGCTGCTGGGCTGTCAGAAGAGGGGGAGAAAAAGAGATCTCTGTCCTCCGTGTTTTATTCTTATATGATTATATAGAGTCATTATTCATTTGTTTTAAAGCTCAATAAATAACAAAGAAGACCTTTGACCGGCACTTTTCTAATTTTGTCCAGAAGATTTAAACTTTAACGGACATGTTGACCGGCGAAAAAAAACCTAACTGAAACTCTGCCGCACGGTCCCCTCGTTCCTTGGAAGAGGCGGAGAGGTGGGTGTTTGTCATCTGCTGGTGGACTACCGGAGAGAATAGGCTACATGCACAGTCACTTCCGCATTGTGCGTAGTACTGCCCAACTGTTTCCGGTACAACAACAACAATGGCGACGTTCTACACCCGGTGTCTACAAGAGCTCCCGAAATTGAAAATTAGCGATGTTCATCGCATTTGCAGGACGACTAAAGCCCCAGCCAGCAAACTCGATAAAGGCTTCAAATGATATGCTGCGTCATATATACACAACTATGAAGGTAAGAAGGTAACTGGAGTAACAGGTACTAACCAGCTAGCTTATGCTACAGGTTACGCTAACGTCAGCTGTCAAAAGCTAGGTAACGCCAGAGCCCTATAGTAGAACTACTATTATACTACTACTACTACTACTACTACTACTACTATAGTAGACTACTATAGGGCTCTGGGTAACGCTATGTACTGTTTCTGGTGTTAATTCTTTAAAACATTAGCCATTTTACTCAAAAATACTATCGTTTAATAGCCTTATAGCCTAGCCAACTAAAGGTTGTCTTGTTGTTAGCCACACTGCATAATGGTATCAGCTTTTGTAAAGCAATGTTGCCATAGATGTTTTGACGTGAGTATAGATCTAACGCTGTTGCTCTGTTTTTCTTCATTCAGTGTCCAATAAAGACAGGCTGACAGGGCAGGTCAGCGTGAGAGCCTTGTGCTACAGGTCAATGAGGAAGAGCGAGACAGCACACAGTTTGAGTGTAGGCAGGCAGCATTGACACTGTGTTCCCCCCTGTTTATTGAGTTTCAGTTCAGTTAAGCATTAGTTTACCTTAAGGGAATCTCAACAGTGTCCTACTTCTCCCTGCTTTATCACAGCTGATTGGTCAGATATTATTACATTGATTATGGATGTGTAAGTTTGGGGGTTCAAATATATAGTCAAAACTGCTTTAATACAATTTTCAAGGCATCTTAGTTTCCAAAGAAGGTTCATTGTGGTATTGTAGGGTTAGAGGGTAACACTAAGCATTCAGGAATACATGCTTCTTCTAGGATAATGGGTCAGTAAAAATAACCAATAATTCTACTCATAACCTCCTGGCTCATTTACCACAAGTGAGGTTACTAATCACTAGTATTTCTTCTCTCTTTTTTAGATAACGCTTCGTGATTCATCACCAGTGGTGCTCACGCACAACCAGTGCTCCTGTGTTGCAGGAACTGTTTTGTGCAATCACACAGTAGCATTGCTGTTCCAAACGGCACACTACACCGAACTGAACATGCCAGTTGTGCCGCCTGTGCATAGCTGTACTGAATCGGAACAGCAATGGCACAAGCAATGGTAATTTCAATAAGGTTCAAATACTTCTTTCACAGAGTTTTTGTTTTAAAGTGACTAAACTAACAGTAATTGTCTTTTCCTTAAGGGTGTGAAGCCAGGGCCCATCAACTCCATGGTCTTCACCAAGCCTGTACCAAATAGGATGGTGCAGACTGGAGTAAGGTAATTTTAGCTGAAAAATTGTGTTTCCTGTGTTTTTAAAATTCATAATGCTATTCTGGTGCTGTATTCCTTACCTTTATTGTCACATTAATGTGCTATATTGTCTTTGCCATTCTTTGTAGGAGTGGATTCTACAGAGGCATGGTGGGGCCATTACCAGATCCCTGCCTGTTCAGAGTTACGGAGGCATACTCAGCATTCAGCATTGAAGATAGACCGCTTGTGACCACAATGAACATGAGACCTGACAAGCCCCTTGTGGAAAGTGCCTTCGGGATGGTGCAGGAGGGCAGTGTTCTGTCCTATCAGATGCCTGCTTTGACGTCTCGGTACACCACACTTCACACTGACACACCACCAACACCCCACTTGCCCACATGTTTTTGATATATATTGTTTGTCACATTTCATATATGTAAATAAATATACAATTGTATTTAAAAAGACAATAAAGTGAAGTGATTTTTTGTAATTAATAGTAAATCATTGCATTTGTAAGAAATCAACACATTGTAATTTGCAATTTACCATTTATTCAAACAAAACACTAGCGTGTGTTAGGCAACACGGGATTACGGTGTGCTCACCCAGCTTAATCACAGCTACCTGCACAGGTGTCATCATCTTGTCTTATTTCACCCATTTCTTGACCAGTGCTTTGTTCTGATAGTTTGACAGCATACATGCTACTGCAAACAGTTGGTTGATGTTGTAGGCATGGGACAGGAGGATGACACCATCAAAAAGCTTGTTCTCTTTTATCCTCCTAATGACACGCTCCACATGAACCCTCAGTCTGGCAATGGCCTGTGTCTCCCTCACCTGATAGGCTGGCATTTGCTTCTGCTGTGACAGAAAAGGTGGACAGTACACCTTGCATTTGCAGCAATCGCTGATCAGGAAGCCCTTATCTACCATCACTGCCATGTTTTCAGTCAACAACGCAGCTATTCCAGATTGTTTGAAAATCTCCTTGTCGCTGACAGAACCACCATACAGACTGGAAACAAATGTCACTGCGCCATGTGGGGCTATGCCAACCAGGGCTTTCATGGTGCAGTGAGATTTGTATGTAGAATACATTTCACTTTGGAGGAGGAGTGAGGATGGTGTTTGACACCTCAGCTCTGTGCAATCCAGGATCACCTGTGTGTCTGGGAAATCTTTGAATGCCTCTGGGAGGTGGGCTTGAACTTCTGCAGGTGTAAGCCAGATGCACTGTGACCCCAATAAAGTTGTAAGAAAACTTGTCCATGTTGCAATGATGCGGCTCACAGTGGACTGGTGTACGTTGAAGCGGTTTGCAAGGTCCCTCTCTTTCAAACCCACCGACAGGAAGCATAGAAAAAGAAAGAACTCGTCAATTGGCTGAAGCAGCAGTCTCTGGAAAATAAAAACAAAAAAAGGTTACGATATTAATGTCATGAGTGTAGCACACTGGGAAAAACATGAAGTTGTTTTAGTTCTCTGATGTATTCAAAAAGGATTGAGTACTTTAGCCTTTTAGCCTACACAAAAGCAATGAAATGTCGGAGAAACATTTTCCCTTCAGTTTGTGTTTAGATTGTGTGTTAAAAGAAACGTAGCCTACCGTTGATGGACGTGCGTGTGTAACCACTTCTTCATTCCTCTTGGCAGCTGATATCGCTCTTGTAACACGAACCATTTTATGAATTGAAGGCTCAATCAAAGACCAGAAGGCCATCAGGTGGTTATAGCTCGGGAATCTGTACACAAAAGACACATGTCAGTCATTAATTGACAGTAAATACAATCGTGTTAACTGTAACACATGGGCTAATGTTTTCCTCTTGTTTGCTATAATACATTACAATTCAAACTGATTAAGAAGGCACTTGGTGCAGGTATAGTAATCTACAGCAGTAAAATGTAACAACTACATTAAAGCAGCAGTAATAATAATCTAAAACATACAGGGAACATTTTACACACAATGACTACTTTTACTCTTCATTCTTAAGTGTGCAACTGGGGGAAACGCAGTGGATATTGACATACTTTTACTTTGGTAAGGTTTTGAAGATTTCCACTTGTAGTAAAGTATTATCAGTATGTTGTTAGTATTAGTATGTTTTACTCCACCACATTTAGTTAACCTTCATAGTTTCTAGTTACTTTTTATATATGAAAACACATGATTTATGATTCTACATGTTCAGTTCAGGAGTATTTTAAAACCATAGTATTTGTACTTATACTTCAGTTAAGTTGACAAAAAACACACTGGACGCTGCACTAGGTCAGAAACCAGAGGAGACTGAACTCCACCACAGACGGACCACTTTTGGTCAAAATGTCCTCTCCGTTAACACATCTCCTCTTGCACTTTATCTAGCACTTTTATCTTCTCTTGCACTTTATATGTCATAGCTGCTATATTGTACTGCCATGTGGTAAATACTTGTGTATGCTGCTCTTGCTCTTTTGCACTTTTTGCATATCATGTATTTTGTTTTTACCATGTTTGTAAAATGTAATTTTCTTAAATGTTTAATGTGAGGGACTGCGGATGGAAATTAGCTCAAAGCTAAATCTGGCACTGTTACGCTTGATACATTTTAATGTTGTAAGTGTTCATTACTGTGCATTGTCCCTGCCAATTAAACGATTAAATAAATAAAATATCCCAACACTGCATGCATATAGTCAGCAGTCACACGGCAGGTAAACAGGATTCTTTATAAGCTAACCCATCTCAAAAACTTGGATAGAATTGAGACAAAACATTACCTGGTATAGAATCGGATGTTGTCGTCGGAGCCAGCAAACCGCTGTAAGCAAAACTCTCGCTGGACTCTTAACTCCTGCAGTTGCTTCTTCAGATCCTCCACTGTTTTGGAGTTGTCTTCTGTAGCTTGAGAGGACATGTCCAGTGAAGCTGGTTCAGGGGTTGAGCAGTAATCATTAGGGATGCTCCGATCGATCGGTCACCGATCGAGATCTGCCGATACTCACTCTCTACCGATCGATCGGTGCTCTCTAAACATGCCGATCGCGAGGGCCGATCGCATGACGTAAAAGACATGACACTTTTCTCTGTGCGCGGCAAAACAAGCTCACCAAAATGGCTTCACCGGTCTGGCATTATTTTAAGGTGTCCGAAAAAGACAGTAAAATAGCGGTATACAACGTGTGTGTGAAGCAGAAATCCTGCAGCTCCACCCGCTGTGACGGAGCGGTGAGCGGAGCGAAACACACAAGAGTTAGACCTAACACACTTAGCTATTTTATCTACCTCTGGAACAAGCTAAACTAGTTATAAATATGTTTATTCTTCACTGTCGGCCTCACACATTACTGGATCAGCGAGCTGCATGAGACGATACTGACGGGCTGTCAGGAGAGGGAGAGCGGGGGAGAGAGAGGGGGAGAGAGAGAGGGAGAGAGAGAGGGAGAGAGAGGAAAAGAGAGCGCTTGCTCATTTCTCCCGTGTTATTATCCAAAGTGAATGTAAACTTGAATAATATACATAATTTGAATGTAATAATTAAGTGGATTGTTGTTTGTGGAAGCTCCAGTGAATGAGCCCCATTAACTGAGTTTTAAACATCACTTTAAATGGAAGATTTAAAGTGATGTTTAAATCTTCCATTTAGGCCCCGCCCACTCGATCGGATCGGCGATCGGTATCGGCAGATACTGATTCCGGCGATCGGCCCCAAAATTGGCGATCGGAGCATCCCTAGTAATCATGGTCACGGACATCGATGTGCTCTTCCTGCTCCTCCCGAGAGACTGGTTCAGTGGGCCGCTCCCTTCTCTCCCAAACACTAGCCCGCTGTGTTTGAGCAGTAAAGTGATTCCACTCAAACAGAGTTGGTACAGCACCTTTCACAAGCCTCCTACGGCCATCAAGGGTTTTTGGCTCTATTAGTTGATCCGTAGCGAAGTGACGACTGCAGACCTTGGAGTGAGAGGATATTGTAAAGTTATCGCGCCGTATTTTTACCAGCCACTGTCTTCGCAGCTCGAGTTCGGTCGGAAAGCCATGGAAACTTAGGACGCCGTTGAATTTAGCTGACGCCGTACAAAGTGGGACACAGCAGTGCTCGGAGTAGTTATTCACTTGTCTTTGCAAATGTTCCGTTTTGAAAATCTTCCGTCGACTCATATTTAAACCATAGATTTAAATAGTAAAACCTTTGTGGACGATCTCCCGCTCAGCTACGCAGACCGGAAGTAAACCGGAAGCAGCCGAGCAGTATTACGGCTAAGGCGGAAGTACGTCTCAGACCCTAGTGCATGTAGCCTATTACAGTGCTTGCCTCGACGGGGAGGGATTGCATTGAATTACAGCAGCAGGAGGCGCAAACTACAGCGCCACTTACAGGCCTGGCATATGTACTACAGCGTCTCCAGTGCTTTCGAGCGGCAATGGCAGGCCGTGGCCCAACCCCACATTCCCCTGATAGGTGGAGAGTTGGCCATATAGGCAGAGCTCCTCGTTCCTGACGTCAGAGAATTTTCAAATCTGTATCAGTCTGTATCAGATCCGTTGCAGCCCTGTTTTTAGAGATTTGGGTATGGAGGAAAAGAGAGAGGGTTGTGTTTTCTGACACTTGGTGAGTTCCCTGACACACCGGGGACACATATTCATGTATAAAAGACGTACAAAAGTGCATTTTGCATGATAGGTCCACTTTAAGCTGCTTTGGTATTTTTAAAAGATGGATAATCTTGTTTCAAGAACTACATTTTACTTGATTTTAGAAAACCTATTTTCATTGGAAAATCAGCAACTATAAAACGGAAAACCTTCTGAGCATTTCTGGCTTATTCTGTAACACAACATTTCCCAATCCTGGTAAATATAATTCAAAATGCGTTTTCTCAGTTAATTACAAGATCTAATTTATCTGAATATCCTATTTTATTTCAAGAAATGTTACCAAGCACATTTTCACTTGTTCTATTGGCAGATTTTTTTAATTCATTAAAAGTGAAAGAACCTTGTTTTTATTATTCTTTTACTTGATTTTGGAGCAGTATTTTTTCCAGTGCTTGCTGAGAATGGCTAAGCACGAGGGGATGCTGACTGCTGGGTGATTGATGCCTGTTGTCTGCTCTGCTTGTGTTTTACAGGTAGCTGCTGTCATTACCGTGTCACCGCGGTGCTCCTGCCCAGTCTGATCCCTGGCCTGAGCAGCTGGTTTCCAGTAGGGGGGGGGGGGGGTGCCCTGCAACTACATCTCCTCCATCATCCATGCCTCTGTTTACGTGTGCCCAGTCTGGGGATACAGGCCTCTCTCAGCATATTAATATGAGAGCTGCTCTATCAAAATTAGTCACATTGTCCCAGGAACACATTTTGAGTTTTATACACATTTGTAAAGTGGAGATTCTTAGCTTTCCAATGATATCCTTGTTTGTTTTCCCTTAAATATTCAGCAAAAATATTTCACATACCAGGTAACTGTTACCAAGACAGGAGGCTGAGAAAAAGGCCTTCAAAGTTTGCAGACAACATTTCAAAAGGGGGCACAGGGCTTAATATTTTGGGGGAATAGTACCCCTTGGCCACCAAAGCTTGTTAGCAGGCTGTCCCTCTCATGATGTGCAACAGATCATGGAGATTCACCCGTGGGCTAACTAATTTTAATCTAGTAGCATCGAGGACCAGGATGTTTATTTTCCCCGGCCAGAGGAGTGAAACACATGGCCTGTTGTAATGCCTAATTCTCAGTCCGATACTTTTACAATCGTTGATTCCGTATTTATCATCTGAATTCGGCTATAATATTCTAATATTCTGAAAAGCCACGCTTTTATTTATAATTAAGATCAGATGACCACCCCCTGTCCCGGACCCGGTCGTGTTACTGTCAGCCTGTCATTTCATATTTCAGGGAGGCTGATCAGAGTGAGAGGAGACAGTGATCGCTGAAGTTGACACCCTGTTTTTACAAGCTTCAGAAAAGTATTCATCGTCTGAATATGACACGAGAAGTTTGATATTCTGAATCCCAAGAGTTTGTTTGTTTAGAATCAACCAAAAACCCAATGTTCGAATGTGCGACATCCGACTGATTTGGATAGAGCGGGTCACATATGTCAAGAGTGAGATCCATCTTTTTTTTCTTTGTCATTGATGGTTTCTGTGAATCAAATATCATCATCAAACTTGAAGAAACAACTGTGAATTTAGGATCTGGGGGCCTGAGGTGTGTTGTTGTCTCGGAGGACCCCTGTGGCTGGTGACTAATGCTCGAGCTTCCTCTACAGCAGGAGATTCAGGGTGAGACAGCTTGAGCTTCACACTCTTCACTGCTGTACAAGATGCTTTGTTTCTTTAAATGTATTTTTACTGAAATGGACATTTTTATCTTGTCATGTAATTTAATCAGTATTTTATTGTAGCGTTTGTTGATATTGGTAAATATTGTTTGAGCAAATACTGTATATCTTCCCAAATAAAAGTCTAAGTTCAACAGCATCAGTTCCCCCTGTGTTGGTTTATTGCCGAAACAAATAACATATGCAACATATTAACAGTCATTATGTTCCTAATGAATACACCCAAACCAGTATTTTCAGGTTGATCACAAGTTTAACCAGTTGTGGAAAGAAACTATGTTTATTTACTCAAGTATTGTATTTTAAAGGTAGGGTAGGTAAGAATGGAGAAACCAGCTTGAGTAAGATAGAATTTGAAAGTACACAACCGAAAAAAATCTGCGACTTCCTTACAGAGCCCCTCCTCCAACACACACAAACGCGCACATGACCAATGAGGGCACGAGATAAGTTTGTGCACGCGGGCCAAGGCAGATAATTGGTCTTGCTTTTTTACAGCGCCACGGCTTCCACAGATAAAATATTTGTATATATTTATTGTCAAAGCATTTAATTTATTCATTGCTATCGGGATGTTAAGAGCATTCCATGGAATATAACAAAAAGTGTTTCTGAAGTGAATTACCTACCCAACCTTTAAGTAATTGTTTGACATAACTGTACTTTACTTAGCACTATACTTAATGTATTTTCATTTGTTGCTACTTTATTCTTCTACTCCTCTAGATTGCAGAGGTGAATATCATACTATTTACTCCAGTACATTTATTTTAACACTCTAGTTCAGCGGTTTTCAAAGTGTGAGGGGAGGCGCAGCGTGAGAAAAAAAAGAAAGAGTAAAAGATGAATAAAGTGACACTTGCACACTTTTGGCTGTCTGTGGAGACCGAGTTCCCCCACCTCGCCAAAAAGGCTGTAAAAGTGCTCATTCCCTTCACCTCCACCTACCTGTGTGAGTGGGGGTTTTCCGCATTGACTTTGACCAAAAGCAAGTACCGGTCAAGGCTGCAGCCAGAGGATGATCTGCGTTTATTCCTGTGTGCATCAAAGACGCAGACTCATTGTTCCCACCAAAGTAGGGGTGAGTGTAATAAGGAGGCAAAGTTGACGTTCAGTGTGTTGCCGGGAGCATATAAGCATTTATCCACAATGTTGAAAATGTTAAAAATGTTAAAAGAAAATATGTGTTGAGAACACGGCGTACGAAAATATACGGGTCGTGCTGCAGCTAGATTTGCCTGTCCTCTGTAAGAAGGTGTCGGCGACTGACATGCAAGGAAGAACGGCTGTCCACAGGCTGTTCCAACTTTAAGAACTTTATTAACTTCCAGGGTAGTGAATTGAACATGCAATTGTAATTGGGTGTGTGGTATATTTTCATGCACGCACACGCATGTTCCACAACACACAAACTGAACAACACTCAATTGTCCGATCGCTACCAGTGTCCTTGCGATCATTGTTATAACAAGTGCACGTTACTGATGCAATATGGTTGAGACCAGTCGGGCTTATTCTAGAGGGGTGCAAGGAATAGTCCAAGTAGTGGGGGAGTTTTATACAATATGTTTAAAACATAAAGATACAAAGGTTTAAAAAAGTTATTGTTTAATGTTTTAAGGAGGTGATGCTACTCAGCCAATCAAATCGGTGCAGTCAGTGAGTCAGCACGATAGATTCAAACACAGAGACGAGGAGAGAAAAAGTCGGAGTAATTTCAAATGGCGGAAGGTAGACAGCGAAAACAGAGCATTTAATTACATTTTCTCTTACTGGACCTCTTTGAAATGCAATTGAATACTCCTGCATTATAGCAACAACAACAACAATAATTAAAACTGCGGTCGCAGAAGTGCGCGCAGTGATGAGCGGGCCCTCGCGTCCGTGCGCCTGTCGGGGAGGGCGGCCGGTCGTCCCGGCGTCAAGCAGACGTGCGCGAGTCCTGGGAAATGAGCCGTTTGTCATTTCTGTCATTTTCGCGTCCCAGACTCCCAGGTCCTCCAGCAGCGACCCGGAAACAGATGTCGGCGTGCCGTCTCGAAGGAAAAAGATTTCGCTAAAGGCTCGTCGAGGATCGATTATCGAGGAGGCTGTCTGGAGGAGCCGTAACCGAGGATACACTGATTTAGAGGAGAGAGGAGGGAGGAGTGTCTTTGGAGGAGCTATAACCGAGGGTACACTGATGTAGAGGAGAGAGGAGTCTCTCTGGAGGAGCTATAACCGAGGGTACACTGATGTATTCTCTGGAGTGGATTTCAGCCAACAGTGATGTTTAAAAGAGGCGTGACGCATGGCTGGAGTTATGTCAACGAAGCACAGCTCTGCAAACTGTTCCCGTTGTGATTATAAGTTATTTAAGATGATCAAATGTGCATCAGACTCTCTGCCCTTTACCGTTTGTTTACTCACTAATCACATCTCACCTGGATATTAGGCTATTTATTTGTTTAATACAACTGCTTTCATTGTGACGCGATGTTTACAGTGAGAACAGCTGCTGAGGTCAGTGCAGAAAGCAGAACAGTGTGTAAAATATATATCGCTCAATAATATATGTAACAGGCCTACATTTCACACTTTATTTGTAGGCTTTAGGAGATATCTACAAATAAACAGTAGATATTTTTCATGAAACCATATAGTGCTTCACATAATAAAATATACAAGGGCTGTAGCCTGATATTTATTATATGCTTTAGGAGCTGTTTGTGTTTCTTGTACTCTGTGTGTGTGTGTGTGTGTGTGTGTGTGTGTGTGTGTGTGTGTGTGTGTGTGTGTGTGTGTGTGTGTGTGTGTGTGTGTGTGTGTGTGTGTGTGTGTGTGTGTGTGTGTGTGTGTGTGTGTGTGTGTGTGTGTGTGTGTGTGTGCGTGCGTGAGTGCGTGAGTGCGTGCGTGCGTGCGTGAGTGCGTGCGTGAGTGCGTGCGTGAGTGCGTGCGTGAGTGCGTGCGTGCGTGAGTGAGTGAGTGAGTGAGTGAGTGAGTGAGTGAGTGAGAGAGAGAGAGAGTGTGTGTGTGTGTGAGAGTTGATGTGCCAGGCAGATAGGCAGGTCTCAGTAGCTTATCTGACATATATTTGGTCAAAAATTGTACATTCTCCGTTAGCTTACGAGCTCCATGTTCAAGCGATCGACTATTCCTTCGCAATGTAGCATCACTGTGGATATTCGTTTAAATTGTCCTGGATTGGAATTTTTCCGATCATTTCCCTATGATGAATTAGCAAAAATGTGCTTAACCTGTTAAGCACCGAGCCTGTTTTTCATGTTTCAGGCTCGAAAATGACATGCCCAAAACAAATGACTACAACTTAACTTCTAAAAGGGTTATATGAATAATTTCTTTTATCAAAGCAAGGTTACATCTGTGAGTTGGATGTAGAAGTGTCAGAATCAATATAAATGTTTTTTATTTTAAAGAAAATTCAGATTTTACATAGTAAAAAACTGTAAATTATAGTGTCCGTCCAAAAATTATTTTTTACAGATAGTGAAAACTACCCTTGGATGATGGGTTAGTAGACTAAAAGCTTTAGGAATCCAAAGTACAACATATAATAAGTACCCTGTATCAAGATTGATGCAAAACAAGTTAGATTTGACCTTTTTAGAGAGATTTAGCCAAAAAAACCCACTTCTGGGGTCATTTGGGTGGATTTGACCTATCTCTGGCCCCCCTTGCTCGATTTGGATCGTTGACACACCTTTCTGACCGTTAGAGCCAATAGAATCGAAGGGGGAGGCCCACACACACACTCATTGTAAAGAGAAAAGGTGGGGGCTGCGCGTCTAGAAATGAAACTAGATTTGCAGATTTTCTCCTTCTGGAGTTTGGAAACTAAAAAGCAGTTTTATTGCTTATGGATTATCAGAAATAATTTCAAAGAGGGCAGAGATACATAGGATGAACCTATGGATTAACTGCAGTATCGTTTTTTTATCGTTTGAATGCCATTGAAGACCAGTTTTGACCAAGGTAAGCCATGTTAGCGTTTCTAGCTACTTAGCTCCACATGTTATGATGTACGCTTTCGTTTATAGCGTCGCGAATGTTTATCACTGAGTGTTGAGGAGGGCATCACTAGATTCAGTGTCTCCAGGACACCAAAAACGAGTGGTTGGTTGTGCATCTAGGATAAGTAATAAGGGAGTTATGAGTGAGTTGCCGTTCGGCAAGTGCCGTTTTAGGTTAAATTTTTTCGCTCGTGGCTAATTCAGAGGCTGAGTGCTAGCATTGTGGGTTTTTTTTGAAAAGAAAAATTAAAAAGATCAGTTGGCTGAGTTTCTTCCCGTTACATGGATATAACACATTCATAGTTTTATTCAATATTAAGATTCCTTAGACGTTGTTTCCTGCAAATGACGCGTTTATCCGCCCGGTACCGGGCGGATGGTGCGTAACAGGTTAAAATGCATGAAAAACGCACATTTTTCTAAATGGCCGACTTTCTGGGGGGCGGGGCTAATGGAAGCTATTTACAAATATGTCCCCAATTCCATGAGGAATGTCTGTGCCAAAATTCGTGAAGTTCTGAGAAACTATATGTGACTACCACACAATAGGGGGCGCTAGTGAGAAGTATTTTTGAAAGATTACGTTTTTTTTTTACATTCTCGAAAAGGTCGTGGGCTCTGACGTGTGTCCCAAGTTTTGCGTCCGAAGCTCATTTTATGCTATCGCAATTTAAAAAAAATGTATAGGCCACGCCCACATTCTGAATTTTTTGCGACACTTTAAATCTCAGTTCGTAGTCACCCCGAGAGTATGTGTAAATAAAAAATAAAAAATTCGTCCATCCGTTATAAGTTATAAATTGGTGGCGTTTTTGGCGCCACCTATAGTCCAAACTGAAAATGCGTTGGTGTGCGTATTCCCCAAGACAGACTGAACCTAGCCACCAAAATCTGTGATATATGGATATATTGTTGAGTTATGAGCATTTCTTTCTAAGCCCCGCCTTTTGCGAGTACGTTTTGATTCATGGCGGCAATATTTATCCTCTGAACATGCTCATTTTCTATGGTAAAGTGTGTTACCCTTCACCAATGCTGTATACTAAGTTTTGTGTCGAAAAACTAAAAATGGAAATTTAAGTGAATATTTCACTGTTTTTAACATTATGCTAATAAAAAA